TTTCAACATGCGACTGTTCTACTGCACTTATCTCTAGTTACCTTGATTCCATCCTAACTCCCTTTGTTCATCAACTCCCTACTTATATTCAAGACACCAATGATGCCATACAAAAAATTGCAAATCTTAAGTCGAAATCAGATTATTTTATTCACACTTGACATAATGTTGTTGTACATCTCCATTGCACGTGAAGATGGACTCAAGTCCCTAAAACACTACCTTGACAGATGGGATACCCTAGACCCACCTACTGAAACCCTGATTAGATTAGCTGAATTAGTTTTATTATTAAATGCCTTTTCTTTTGACACCAAATCCTATAAACAAGTGAAGGGTATAACCATGGGTACCAAAATGAGTCCCTCCTCTGCTAACGTCTTTGTTGGTTATATTGAAGATTGTATATTTAAGAACTACACAGGTACCCTGCCTGCCTTATGTCACAAATATATTGATCATGTTTTTGGAATAACTACATGCACCAATGATGAACTCGATCTTTTTCATAAAATGCATACTTGACTTTAATATTACTGTAGTTGGAAGTATATATTCCTGAATTTTGGTATACAGTTTGTTTATCATAATATTATGGTCATGTCAGGTTAGGCATCAGTGTAGTGTAATTAAGGGCCTATGACTTGTGTACAAGAAAGACCAAGTTGAGTAAAAACATGTTTTGATTATTACAGACTCTTGGTATGAGGTCGGTCGAATTGACTGACCTCGTAACCATTTTGTGCTTGTGCATTTTGCAGAGTAACATTAAATTTTAATATTGAAAGTAGTGTAGGAATGATCAATGTATAGCTGTGTTGTCCCTATGTTGTTGTTTGCATTATTTTTGGCACTACCATCCGTACATTTACAAAATGTTTTTATTATGTTATCTAAGTCTTGTAGCATGAAAAACATGAGTGTAATGGAATGCTTATTTTTCTGACTGCAAATATTAAAATAATTATTTGTTAAAGGTAAAGAAAGATGTACTCTTTGTTTAAATTTAAAACATTAGGGCTAGGACGAATTGTTTTTCTTTTGGAATAAATTACAGTTACACCTGTTAATGATCAAGGTACATTTTCATTATATTTTGAAGTATGAAGCTGTTCTACAACTAATAACATTCATTTGGTTTATTTGTACAACTACCAGTCTAAATAAGTACTTGAGATTATTCTAATATTTTGAGATGTAATGTTTTATTAATGGTAGGGTTATGGATGACAGTGAGAAACAGCTTAAGATTTGATCAGATTTATGTTCATGGATCTTTTATTTCTTGCACAAACAATATTTTGTATACTTGAATACATTGAGTATTTTTAATTACTCTCTCAAGCAAGGTATAATTAATTTTAAGTAAAAAAAAAATTAAGTAGCATTTTGGGAAATTATGCTGTGTAAAAAATGTAGATGTCAAAGTTAAATTTTTGTATCCGTTACATCTGTTATCCAAGAAACAAAAGGTTTAAAGAATGTGTATGTTATATTCATTTTGCTGGGTTACTAGCTGCAGAAAGTTCATGAGGCAGAAATTTTAATTTTATCAGAAATAATAAGACCACAGATATATCACAAATAACTTGTTTATTAACAGATGAATACCG